AGTCTCCTAGGTTCATAAGATTCTCCTGCCTCAGACTCCTGAGTAGCTGGGATGACAGGTGCCCAACACCAAGACAGCCAATTTTGTATTTTTAGTAGAGACAAGTTTTCACCATGTTGGCCAGGATGGTCCCAAACTCCTGATGTCAAGTAATCTGCCCACCTGGCCACCTGAAGTGCTGGGATTACAGGTGTGAGCCACTGCACACAGCCTGCTTTTTATTATATTAATTGAGTGAGTTGTGTTATTTAATTTGCAGGTGTTAAACCAAACTTACTGCTCCATAAAAAGCCAATCTGGCCTGACATGTTGTTCTTTTTATGTTTATTTGAATGTAATAACTTTTTGAATAGAATTTTGGGTTTGGGTTCAAGAGAAATAGTTGTTTGTGGTTCTTTTTTAATGTGATTTTGTTGTCTGGGTTTTGTTTTATTTTAACCTTAGTAATGTTGGCTTCATAAATTGAGTTGAAAGTGGTTGCCTGCTTTAATTTCTAAAAAGACAGTGTGTAAAATTGATGCAATTTCTCAGTTATATGTTCCATACAATTCATCAGTGGAGCCTTCTGGACCTGGAGTTTCCTCTATGGAAAGAATTTCAATTATAAATTAATTTTCCGCAATGTATATATGGCTGGCCACATTTTCTATTTCTTCTTGGGTCAGTTTTCATGAAAGCAGTCAGATGAACACCTGCTGAAGCTGCGTTGTTGTCTTGGGTAAATTTTCAGGGTTCATCATCTTGCACCAAGAAGATTAAGGACAACAACACACGAGGAGTGCGTTTAGGAGCAGAGGTTTAATAGGCAAAAGAAAGACAAAGGGGAACATGTCTTTCTCTTATGCAAGAGAGGAGCACCTGAAAGGCAATTCCAGCCAAGAATAAGAGTGCTCCAGATTTTGTAAGCAGGCTTGAGGAGATGGTGTCTGATTTATATAGGGCCCAAAGGTTGGTTGGACCAGGTGTGACTTGTGACTTGCATCTGAAGTGAGGACAGGCTCATCGACTGAGCCCTTAAACCTGTGGAGTCTGAGGCGAACTCCAGGTAGTTAGTGTCAGATTGTGTCAAATTCTAGGACTCTCAACTGCTGTTGGAGATTCAGAAAATTATTTGGGTGGAGAAAACCCCATCACCATCCCACAGAAGGAAAAGTGCAGTCAGAGTAAGCAAGTAAACCTCTACCTTCTTCAGCCCCAGAAGAAAAGATAAAAAATGTGAGCATTTATTTCATGACCCTAATCTGCTAAACACAGGTTGCTACCAGCTGTTTATTGTCCACACATGGAGTGGTCCTACCTCTAACCTAGAAGTTAGAATTTTCTTTCTCTGAGGGGGTCAAATAAAAACTAATAAATGTTACAGATTCTTTCCCCAGAAATATTTCCACACACAAGAAAATATAGATATTAATATAAAACATTAGTGTGTACCCAGATCCTTCGAGATCTGACAAACCTGGGTTTTAAAATCCTAGTAAGAGACAATGCTGAGGGAAGATGTGTGAATAATCATTTCACCACCACACAGTGCCACTCCAATAATCTAGAGTCTAAGCTGGGATAGACAAAAACTTGATTTAATAACTTATTTTCGAGGGAATGGGTGGAAGGATGTTACTCATTAGTCACTGGTTCATTCAGACACTCCGAGTGCCTACCAGGTACCAGATACAGTTCTTGTCTTGGATCATTGCTCCAAGAATTAAAATTTGTCATTTTTTCCCCAACCCTCACACCCAGCACTTGAACCCTCTTACAACATCAGAATTCCACACTGTCAATGAAAGGAGTCAAACTCTGTAACGTATTTGAAGAGATTTATTCTGATCCATATATGAGTGACCGCAGTCCACGACACAGCCCTTAGGAGACCCTAAGAACATGTGTTCAAGGTGGTTGGGGTGCACATAAACATTTTAGGAAGATACTGATGTCTCACATCTTCCTAAAATGTATAAAACCTACCAACCACCTTGGTGGTTTTATAGATTTTAGGAAGATATGAAACATCAATCAAATACATTTAAGATATACATTAGTTCAGTCCAGAAAGGCAGAACAATTTGAAGCAAGCATGGGTGAGGCGTAGTGCTTCTGGCTTATATATAGATTTAAAAATGTTCTGGTTGGTAATTGGTTGAGTTATTATCAACAGCAAAGAAGGTCTGGGTTATGCTAAGAGGTTGTGGAGACGAAAATTTTATCATGCAGACGAAGCCTACATGTGTCAGGCTTGAGAGAGAATAGATTGGAAATGTTTCTGATCAGTCTTAAGGTCCGTGTTGATGCTAAATGCTGGTCAGCTTTTCCTGAATTCCAAAAGGGAAGAGCACATAATGAGGCATGTTCAACACCTGCTTCCCATGATGGCCTAAGCCAGTATTCCAGGTTAACTTTTGAGTGTCCTGGCTGAGGAGGGTGTCCATTAAGATGGTTGGGAGGGGTGGCTTTGAAGTTTATTTTTGGTTTACAACATGTAAAGTGTGTGTGTGTGTGTGTGTGTGTGTGTGTGTGTGTGTTTGTGTGTGTGGAGTTTCACTCTTATTGCCCAGGCTGGAGGGCAATGGTGCAATCTTAGCTTACTGCAGTTTCCACCTTCCAGGTTGAAGTAATTCTGCCTCACCCTCCCAAGTAGCTGGGATTACAGGTAGGTACCACCATGCTTGGCTAATTTTGTATTATTAGTAGAGATGGGGTTTCACTATGTTGGCCAGGCTGCTCTCAAACTCCTGGCCTCAGGTGATCCACCCACCTCAGCCTCCCAAAATACTGGGATTACAGGCATAAGCCACAATGCCTGGCCTGCAACATATAACGTTTTGAGAGGAGACAGAAACCACCTCCCTCTCTAGAAGAGCACAACACTCCAGTCACCCCTGCAGTTGATCATGGACATGAGTCTTAGGCTGCACCAGTCAGAAGACCACTTGCTGAAGCAGCATCATTTTCTCCAGTAAATACTCAGGGTTCATTGTCTTGTACCAAGAAGATTAAGGACACTGACACATGAGGAGTAAGTTTAGGAGCAGAGATTTAATAGGCAAAAGAGAGACAAAGTGAAACAGCTCTCTCTCTTGCAAGACAGAGAGCTCCTGAAAGGGAATTCCAGCCTGGAATGGGAGTGCATCTGATTGTATAGGCAGGCTTGAGGAGATGGTGTCTGATTTATGTAGGGCCCACAGGTTGGTTGGAACAGGTGTGACATTTACACAGTTTGTGGAGAAGGCTGTTCATCCCACCCTAATCCTCTTATGCAAATGGGCTTTCCACTTGGCTGGTCCCATATTGTCTGCCCTTTACTGTACATGTGGCTGGTAAAGAGAAGGGAGGATGGCACCGCCATGGTGACCATGCCTTGTCCCAGGTGTCTTTTTCCTAGTGGCACAGCTGCTGCATTCACCTGTGCGAGTTTCCAGGTTTCTTATCTGTGTCTGAAGCTTGATTTTACGGCTGCTGTTTGTAAGAAAGGAAAATTATTTGGGAGCCTTCTTTCATTAAAAGGAAAACCTTACTGAGGGCTTCTGTACCCTTGCTCTCTGCCTAAATAAATTCTTCTTAACTCCTATATCACTGCCAGACTCTGAGCCAGAATGAGGTGACACAGAGAGGCTGGGACTATGCAGAATGCATTTTAGTAAAGGTGGCTGAGTGGCAGTGGTGATGTCCAGTTTCCAGGTGCAGCAGTGACATCTGTCCTAGCCTCAGGGTCCAGTGTCTAGCACCAGGGTGTCAGAGGTGTGAGCAGTGGGTCTGTGCTCAGCAGCAGGGGCAGTTGTTCCTAGGAAGGACCAGATCCAGGGTGGGCTGTGTATTCTGTTCCTGGATGTTTAGTTTTCAGGCTTGTTCTGCTCTCCTGGGAACACAGACCCCGTCCTGCTCTAGTGCATTTGCACTGGAAGTTCCCCTACCTGGAAAGAACTTCCCCAGACATCTTCATGGACACTCACATGTCCCTCAGTTCTTTCCTCGAAGGTCACCTTTGCAACATGGTGCACACTGACCACCCAGCACAACAGCCACCTTCCCTGTCCCCATTCTTCACACCTTGGATTGCCTGCCTCCCTGCACTTACCACCTTCTAGCACTTTCCTTCCTTACTCTGGTTATAGCGTATCTATCGTCTGCCTCTTCCCACTGGAACATATGCTCCAAAAGGCCAGACACTTTTCTGAATTTACTTCAGTGATGTTCCCCAGATGCAGAACGATTCAAATGCAGGTGAATGAATGATCACTGTAGAGCACCTCCTATTCTAGACAGGATCTTTACTAACACGGCCTCAGGCCAAGTGCTGTTTTGTGGCAGCTACAGCACAAGGTCCCCTCACACTGACATCCAGGCCGCCTGTGCTTTTCTCACTAGTGCTGCTTGTATGTCCTCCCTCCCCCACCCTCCTCCCACACCAACCCCCATGCACACTGCAGAACACAGCCAGGTTTCTTTCTTCAGGAAAGAACAATTCTAGACTATGGACCCAATTTAAAAAACAAATATGAATCTCAATTAGACTCTGCTTTAGATTCATGAGTTGGGGTTGGAGCCAGCACCAAGATCACTGGAATCAGGGCAGGGAGAGAGGGCAGGAGAGCAGAGCAGAAGAGGAGCCCTAGAAGGAGGCCAGGGGCTGAATGGGTCTGAAAGTTTGTCTCAGAAAAACAGAGACTCCTGTGTGCAGGGGCCACCATGGGTGATGTGTAACTCTCTGTGGTAACAGCTGTCACTGGACAAGTTTCTACTGAAGAGACAAAGACAATGGAGCAGTGAAGCTGACCCAGCTGAGGACTGACCACATAAAGCCCATGATGGACTCAACAGCAAATGGGCACAGGCCCCGCCCACACTTGGCTCCTCACAGCCTTCTTCATTCCTACCTGCAACAGACTCAGCACAGCGAAGATGAGGATTCTGGAAGGTTCTTGGGTTTTTATTTCCTCTCTCAAATTTTAGGAATTGACTTAATTAACCCATCAACCTCTCATGCAAGTATTTGAGGAAACAAATTTATATTCAGATTCTTATTTTCAGTAGGGAAGTAAGAGGTTGCAGCTCAGTGCACCATGAAGTTGAGACAGAGATGGAGACACAAGCCCCACCTTTCTGGAATAGGAAAGATGACTGGGGAGGGAACACAGGTCAGCGTGGGGACAGGGGTCATGGTGGATACGGGGTGGGCTGTCTCTCCACCTCCTCACATTATGCTAACAGGGACACAGACACATTCAGATGCCTTTGCAGAAAGAGATGCCAGAGGCTCTTGAAGTCACAAAGGGGAGGTGTGAGGAAATCCTGCATCTCAGTCCCACACAAGGCAGCTGTCTCAGGCTACAGAAAACAATAATCATGAACAAATTCAGGTCAGTCATGGTAAGTGATGACACTCTGATCAGCCCACCACACATGAAAGGTCCCAATTAAAGAATACCCATAACCCAGTCCTGTCTCCTCTGCTCCACACCCACTCACTTCAGGCCTCCCAGGGTCTCACCTTTATAAGCCGTGAGAGACACATTAGAGCCCTGGGCACTGTCACTGCCTGGGGTAGAACAGAAACAGGACCTGGTCAGAGCCCGCAGGAGATGTGGGCCAGGAGGAATTATGGGGTGGGTGAGTGCCACACTCCTGCCCACACCACTTATATGCAGCCTGAGAGTAGCTCCCACTTTTTCCACCTGTGGGAAGAAAATGTCCTGTGAGGCGACAGGAAGGAGACACAGCCATGAGATCTTAGATGAACTTCCTAGTCTTGGACCCAAAAGAAGTTTTCAGAACTATGACCACAGACCCAGGGCAGGATCAGGAAACACGAGGACAGCAGGTGTGGGTCTGGGACCAACTGCCCTCCTAAGGTCTGTCCTTAGCAGAGACCTTCCCCTGACTTGTGAATGTTGGGATCAGGACCCCAACACTACAGTCATCAAGGTGATACATCTGTCCTTCATTGTCACATGTGCTTCACGAAAGAATAAGTGCTGGCACACAGGGCCCCAGGCTGGGTCGGCCCATGTGTGGATGGTGCTTCCCAATAATAGAACACTTCTATTGGGGCTTGAAACCCCCAGTGGGACAAGAATACCCAGATCTCGTCCCTCCTCCCTTCCACACCTGGGCTTTTCCTCTTCCACATCACAGCAGTGACCACAGCTCCAGCGACCATGGCTCCTAGGACAACCAGGCCAGCAACGACGCCCACGATGGGGATGGTGGGCTGCAAAGGTGGCTCTGCGAAAGGAGGGGAAGGTGAGGGGCTGTGACCCCGGGTCTCAGCCCTGACCCTGCTGAAGGCTCCAGAAGGGCTCCTGCTTTCCCTGAGAAGAGACATGACATCCCCATGCCCTCCTTACTTCATTCCCCTCCTTACTCCATCTCAGGGTGAGGGGTTCGGGAAGCCCCTTGTGCTGCACATGGCATGTGTATCTCTGCTCTTCTCCAGAAGGCACCAGCACAGCTGCCCACTTCTGGAAGGTTCCATCCCCTGCTGGCCTGGCCTCCACAAGCTCAGTGTCCTGAGTCTGCTCTTCCCCATCCCGCTGCCAAGTCAGTGTGATCTCAGCAGGGTAAAAGCCCAGGGCCCAGTACCTCAGGGTGGCCTCATGGTCAGAGACAGGGTGATGGGTCACATGTGTCTTTGGTGGGTCTGATGGGAAGAGTCAGAAAATGCAGGCACTTTTTGTCTCTCCTGGGACACCCCAGCAGGACCCATGTGACCATCCTGAGAATGGACAGGACACCTGGGGTGGGGATGGGAGCACAGAACCCAGACACCAGCCTGGACACAGGCACCTGGGATAATCACCTATTCCTTGGAAAGTTTAATCTCTTAGGAAGGAGGAACTGCGACTTCTGGTCCTGACCTAAGTGGAGGCCGACAGTTTCAGAAAAGCTAGAATCAGGCCCACACACACATTGATTGTGAGGCAGAGAAAAAGATCTGAGAGAAAAAGTCACGGTGCCCAAGGCGGCTGCAGGGCTTGAAGGGGACTTCTCCCTGATCAGTATTCTAGGGACTGTCTTTCCTCCATTCCCTCAGAGACATCATCCCTTAACTGTCCTACAGATCAGAGGTGGCTTTCTTAGGAACCTCAGGAAAACTCATCCTATTCTTTATTCAAGGGAAGGGTATATTCTAGCGCTGATCCCATTTTCCTCCCCTCCTAGTGGGAAGCCAGCCCGGGAGATCTACAGGAGACGGGGAAGGCTCCCCACTGCCCCTGGTACCCACGTGCTGCAGCGTCTCCTTCCTTCCTGTTCTCCAGGTGTCTGCGGAGCGACTCCAGGCATCCACCCTCCAGGTAGGCTCTTGTCCTCTCCTTTCTACGGCCGCCTCCCACTTGCGTTTGGTGATCTGAGCTGCCCTTTCTGCAGCTATCCAGGAGCGCAGGTCCTCCTTCAGGGCGATGTAATCCTTGCCTTGCCGTTGTAGGCGTGCTGGTCATACCCCCAGAGGAAACGCCCATTGGACCCCAGGTCGCAGCTATACAACTCCTGGAGGGTGTGAGACCCTGGCCCCGCCCCCGCGGTCAGCTCCGCCCACCAAGCCCCGCCTCCTCCAACCCGCGGGGATTTTGGTCTAAACTGAAAGTGAAAACGGTAAAGGCGTCTAGGCAGTGGTCCCCAAATTTTGGCCTGTGGGCCCCCTGAGGCCATTTATCCAGCCCCTGCCGCACTTCAGGAAGGGACACCTCTTTCATTGGTGGTCAGTGAGAAGAGCACAGGATGCATCTGCATCCTGTGCTCCTGGAGTACCGTATGTGGCGGCACCGCAAAGCGCAGCGTCCCTCATGTACAGTACTACTTCCGGTGATGCCGGAGGCGTCACTGCTCTGGAAGCGTCATATGACACACATCCAGTCTGCGGCTGGGCGCCCCACATCACCGGAAGCAGTGTGAAATAACAGCAGAAGTAGGAAGAAAGGCAAAGCACTATAACCATTCTACACAGTACAGTGGCCCCCATACTCCCCCAAATGTACAACATAATAGCCCTTATAACCGCTTTTTGCCCAAAAGTCTCCCCCCACATGACTACACACCATGTTTCCCCTATTATAAGACCCTGTCTTATGTTAATTTTACCCCCAAAAGACAGGGCTGTCTTATTTTTAGTAGGTGTCTTATAATAGGGGAAACATGCAGCAGTGGGCTTCCCACAGAAGAGGCCCACCGCTGCGGCAGATGTCCAGGACTCTGTGCACACAGTGTCACAGGCTGATCGCCGCCATCCCTGTCTACAGCACTGGAGGCGGTGCTGGGCCTGTGACACTGTGTACCGCTGCCTGGGATAGTGGAGCCCTCCAATGGTCTGAGGGACAGTGAACTGGCCCCCTGTGTAAAAAGCTTGGGGACCCCTGCGTCTAGGGATCTACCCGATCAAGGGTCTGAGCGAGTCTCCCACCCTTAGGTGGATTTCGAACCCGGAGACTCAGGGCGACCCGGACGTCCATGTGGGGTGGGGAGGCGTGGCGATCTGCGCCCGGTAGGGTCACTCACCGGCCTCGCTCTGGTTGTAGTAGCGGAGCAGGATCCGGATCCGCAGGCTCACTCCGTGAATCTGTGCCTCGCCCTGGCTCTCCGTGTCTGCTCCTCCCAATACTCCGGCCCCACCTTCTCCATCCACGCCGCCCGCGGCTCCATCCTCGGAATCGCGGCATCGCTGTCGAACCGCACGAACTGCGTGTCGTCCACGTAGCCCACGGAGATGTACCGGGGCTCCCCGCGGCCGGGCCGGGACACGGCGGTGTCGAAATACCTCAGGGAGTGGGAGCCTGGGGGCGAGGAGTGGCTGAGACCCGCCCACCCTCCTCCCGCCGCGGCTCCCCGGGTCCTGCGCCCCCGCCGGGCGGCCCCTCGCTCCTCCCGCAGAGGCCGTTTCCCTCCCGACCCCGCACTCACCCGCCCGGGTCTGGGTCAGGGCCAGGGCCCCCGAGAGCAGCAGGAGGAGGGTTCGGGGCACCATGACCGCATCCTCGGTGTCTGGGGAGAATCTGAGTCCGAGTGGGTGACTGGGGACTTTGGAACCGGGACCGCGGCGACGCTGATTGGCTTCTCTAGAAATCTGTGGGAGTGGGAACTGGAGACACGTCAGGATTATACAGTACCCCACACAGGTTGAAAGAAGAAGCGAAACTCAGGGGAGAGAGGAATCAACATTGCGCCTCCCCAGCGCAGACGGTGACCTGGAGAGCCTGACACGCTGAGACCCAGGCCTGGGACCTCGGACTTTGTCCTGATCCCTCTTCTTCTACACCAGCCTCTTTGTCACACTGTCTGCCTGAGTCCTGGCCGAGGATCTGTCTGTGGAAACCAGAGAGAGACCCCAAGGCTGTGCCCAGCAAAGAAACTCACCGCGGGGAACTTGATGCCAGAGACTGAGCTCGCCCTGGGAGTGGAGGTGTAGAGACAGGGATTTTCTCTTTAAACCTGATGAAGTTTTGTCTGAAGGCACCAGACAGAGATTCTCATAGAGACCAGTTTCCTTTTTATTAATATACTAGGTAGCACAATACTGGTAATGTCTGAATGATTAGGATTCCAATCTGTAAAAGACCTGCGTCAAAACAGCATTACAGTTAAACTCTCAAAGCTCCTAAGTTTTACTTTCCTGGACTATAGATCTGTGACTCTGGATTGTTGCATTTAAAATTATCTCATTCCCTAGTGGGAGTTGCCCTATATGAGTACAGAACATCTCCTGAATACAAAGAAGCAGATTTGTTACTGTGTATTGAACCGAGAGCCTGTAGTCATCACTGAGTTGCGAGTGCTCCATGTAGTCCCAATGCTCTTCACCAGCGCTGAAGCACTGCCTGCTTTCGTGAGCTATGCACATCTAAGCAGTGTGCATATTTTATTCCAACACTTCGTATTTTTGTAACTTTTTAAAAAAATCATGAGAAGGCTATTCATTTTTAGGAAGTCCCACAAAATGTACTAAATACCAAATGCAAAGGACCCCCTGCTAGGCTCTTCCACTGCTTTAGAATTCTTTCCCCTGCTCTTTTTCCTCACCTCCTGCTTCTCCAGCCCTTCTCTCTGCCCCTGTCATCCCTCACACTCTCCCTTTCCCTTAGTCCCCACCACCCTGTCACTCCTGAGTTGTGGCACTAACACCGTCCCTCACTTTCTGCCCATGTCTGTTCTCCCCACAGTGCTCAGCAGTCCTGCTAATGTGACTCAGGTCCTGTCATTTCTTCCCTTACAATGGTTGGATTGCGGTCTACCATTTTGCTGTACATTTTCACTTTGTCTCATATCTCATTGTTTCTGTTCCTCCTTTGCTACTTTCTTATGTGTCAAGGAAACATATTTTTGTTTATGGTTTTAATTCTCCTAGTGGCTTTTAGCTACATTTCTTTACACTTATTTTTTGTCTTAAGAATGGAAGCCTGATTCCTTGACTTTTCACAGTAAGTTCAGGTAAAATCAAACTACATCCAGCAAAATAAAAGACATTTCAAATGGTATAGTTTCATTTAACCTACCATCATACTATTATTGTATATATTACATCAATATACATTATAAACGCAACAATACAGTGTAATACTTTTTGTTTTAGGCAAGCAGCCATATGTCTTCACGAAATTAAGAAAATGAGTGTGTATGTGATATGTGTGTGTGTGTCACTTCTGTTGTTAATTGTTCCTTTCTGTGTATCTGGGTCACCATCTAGTATCATTTCCTTTGAATCTGAAGAACCTCCTTTAAAATTACATGTAGTACAGGACCCATGGGAAGTGAATTTTATGGTTTTGATGATCTAAACATGTCTTTATTTTTGTCTTCTTCCCCCCACCCCCCTTTTTCTTTCTGCTTAGGGCATTTGCTTGTAATAAAATTTACCGCTTTTAGTTGTGCTTTTTGGTGAATGTTGGTAATTATTTGTAGTCGAGTAACTACCACACTTCCCAGCAGAGAAACACCACATGCCAAGAACCCCCTGCTAGGCTGAGCCACTGCCTTAGAGGCCTTTCCCTTGCTCCTTTTCCTCACCTTCTGCTTCCCCAGCCCTTCTCTCTGCCCCTCATCCCTCACACCCTCCTCTCCCCTCAGTTCCCACTGCCCAGTCACTCCAGAATTGTGGCCCTGTAGAGAACAATTTGTTTTCCCTAAAAACTTTCTCTAAGCCCCTTTCTATTTAATCCCTGGCTCCTACCCTCACCCGTTCCCCTCACTCAACCACTGCTCTCCTTTCTGTCACTGCATTAATGAAATTTCTAGAATTTTATGGACATGCGATCACATGTTATGTAGTCCCTTGTTTGGTTTCTCCCTTAGCATAACAATGTTTGAGATGATGCCGTTCATTCATTTTTGTTGCTCAGCAGCTGCTGAGTATTGCTAGAATTGCAGTTTACTCATTGGTTTCTCTGTTCTCCAGTTGATAGACATGGGGATTACTCCAGTTAGGATGTGTTATTAATGAAGCCACTATAAATAACTGCTCACAAGTATGGTTTACATTTTGATTTCTTTTGGATAAACACATATTTGTGGGATTGCTGGGCCATGTGGTAATGAATGGGTAGCTGTATAAGAAACTGCCAAATTGCTTTATAATTTGGCTGCAACATTCTTTGCATTCCTATCAGAAAGATCAGACCTTCCTATTTGTTCCATCTTCTTGCCAGTATTTAGACTTATCATATGTCTTTTTAACTTTACCTGTTCCAGGTGATGTGTGATGGTTTCTCATTGTGGTTTTCAGTTGCACTTCTTTGATGACTGGTATTTGCTATCTTTTCATGTTCATCTCAGTGACTTATCACGTATATTTCATGAACTATTTTTTAAAACTCAGTGATTAATTCCAGAGACCTTTTCAGAATTCCCTAGTGTTTTCTACATATGCAATGAAGCTGGTGACAAAGAAAGATTTCATTTCTTTCTTTTTTTATCTTTTGATCTTTTTTCTTTTACAATTATTTTTCTTTGGTAGAGATGAGGTCTCACTATTAGGCTGGTCTCAAACTCCTGAACTCAAGTGATTCTCCCACCTCAGCCTCCCAAAATCCGGGGATTACAAGCATGAGCCATCATGACAGGTCCTTCTACTGGTCTTTTATTTTATGTTCTTCCATGTTGCACTGGTTAGGATGCCTGTTAGGTGTTTAAACAAGAATGAGAGCTCACATTTTTGTTTACAAGGAAACTTAAACAAATTTACAGAAAAAAGAAAAAAAACCAGCCCCTTCAAAATGTGGACAAAGGATATGAACAGACACTTCTCAGAAGAATAATCAAATAAATTTCTGTTTGTTTTAAGTTATCCAGTCTCAGGTGTTCTGCTATAGTCACATAATTTAAGCCAAGGGTCCCTAACCCCCAGGCTGTGGACTGGAACAGATTCCTGGCCTGGTAGGAACCAGATCACACAGCAGGAGGTGATTGGTGGGCAAGAGAGCAGGAGCATGACCACAGGAGCTCTGCCTGCTGTCAGATGAGTGGCGGAATTTGATTCTCATAGAAGCATGAACCCTATTGTGAACTCTGCATGGGAGGGCTGTAGGTTGCATGCTCCTTATGAAACACTAATGCCTGATCATCTGAGGTGGAACAGTTTCACCCTGAGACCATTCCCCTCCACCCCGTGCCACCTCTGCTGGTCTGTGGAAAAATTGTCTTTCATGAAACTGGTCCCTGGTGCCAAAAATGTGGGGACAGCTGATTTAATCTATCACAATAATAAACTGCAATACTGAGTGTGAAAGGAAACTAAAATTTCAGAACTTCAAACTCACTCTAACAAAGGAAAAAGTTAAGTTTGGAAACTGAGTGATGAAAAAACTGCCTTTGGTTTGTGCCTAAACAAATACCTGCACAGATAGAAGACCACATATCTCCCCAGGTGGCCTCCCTCACAAATTGCTCACAGGATAATTTCCTTGTGGGCCCCAACATCTTTACTCTGAAACAGAGTTTTGTTCAATTTCCCCCGACAATGTAAATTAACAGTTTGTCTTCACAGGTTTAGGACAAAGACAAGACTAGGAATCATCCCTCCACCCACCTGGAGACTAATGCATATTTGACTTCTCTACCCAATGTTTACTTTATCTTACTTAAAATGCAGGTTTGCTAAACACGAAATGGAAGCATAGTTGACCGCTCCTTTTTCCTCTCCTGCCTGCTTTTCCCCTGTAAATATTGCAGCCCTCAAAACCCTCTTAGGAAAAAGCATGGGCCACAGATGCTACAATGATTTGTGTGTCTTTTTCCAAGGTGCATCTTCAGCTTGGGAAAATAAACTTGTAAACTGATTGAGAACTGTCTCAGACTTTTTTTGGTTTGCTCGACAATAGCAACTTCCTGAGTTCTTTGAGTTAGTTCCAGAATTCCCAAACCTTGCGAGGTGAGAAACCCCTGACTCTGCAGCCATGTTAGACAGAAGTGCAGCTAACCTGGGACCCGATGCTTGCGACTTGCGTCTGAAGTGAGGACAGTCTTGTGGAATTGAGCCCTTAAACCTGTGAAGTTTGAGGTGAACTCCAGGTAGTTAATGTCAGAATTGAGTCGAATTCTAGGACTCCCAGCTGCTGTTGGAGAATCAGAAAGTTATTTGGGTGGAGGAAAACCCCATCACTATCCCACAGAGAGAAACTGATACTAAGAGTAAGCAAGTAAACCTCTACTTTGTTCAGTCCCAGAGGAAAAGATAAACAAAATGTAAGCATTTATTTCATGTCCTAAGGGCTAAAGTCAGGTTGCTACCAGCTGTTCATTGTCCAGACGTGGAATGGCCCTACCTCTAACCTAGAAGTTAGGATTTTCTTTTAGGTCTCTGAGAGGTCACATAAAAACTGATAAATGTGACCAGGCATGGCGGCTCACACCTGTAATCGCAGCACTTTGGGATGCTGAGGCAGGCAAATCATGAAGTCAGAAGGTTGAGGCCATCCTGGCCAACATGGTGAAACCACGTCTCTACTTAAAATACAAAAATTAGCTGGGTGTGGTGGCACACGCCTGTAATCCCAGCTACTCCAGAG